CCATTATATGGACTCAGTTCTCGCTACTGCACCGTTTCTGTGCCATTTTTTTGACAAGCGAGTTATTAAACGTGCGGTATTTGGCACTTTTTTTGCCTTCGAAAGGAAGTCCTCCAACAACATGAGTCTGAAGGATTCCAAGGATCTGAGAGTATATTTTGGGGTAGTCAAGGTTGAAAACATAATATACTCCCAACAAAGTGATCACTGCATTTGCCACCATACTGCCCTTGCAAGATATGCGGACCCCATCGCCAACAATGAAGATTGCAGTTATCTTGTCATCCCTCTTGATTATTACCAGCTTTGGCGGATCCTTGTCCCCAGTTTTCAGGGCCACTTCAACCTCGTTGTCTGGAATGTCCTGAAAAATATATAACAATGATATATAACGGTTACCTTGTTGTAAACATGTGTTCTCCATGTATCAAAACAACAATGTAAACATTGATCTAATTATTGACAAAAAAATCCAGGTCAGTCACAATCAACACAATGGTGTACTACATGTACGTCTTTGTGCAGTCACATGACATCATTGACAGTAGCATGCACTATTTGTAATCATCACATTGTTGAAGGGACTTCGGGCCATCTGCGCAGAGAATGTACAGGTGTCTACAAAATTGCTTTATTTAAAGCTAGATTTTGCAGTGACAGTGAAATGCATTGAGTTGTTCCTTATCTGAGACAAGCAAGCACAAGTTAAAGATCGTATGAGGTAGAGGAGTACAACTCCAGTCCAGGTCAAGTTGCGCACTGTTTCAGAGATGGCCATTATTAAGAAATTAGTAGTAAGAATGGATGGAAGTTTTTTCCATTTGTTCATTGCTAGTGTACAGCAAAACTTGTTTCTGTGATTTCCTGTGAAAAGATAGTATACAACAATAAATATTCATTCATCCAACATATTTGCAGATGGGCAGTTTCATACTGCAGCACAGAATCTTTGTGATAAACTATGAAAATTATTGGATTTGATACAAAATAATTAAAAATGTACTCAAGGTTTAAATTTGCTAATACAGGTGCAGTGTGTTATTCAACGAGCCACTTTAAGGTCAAGTCTCATGTCAAGTAACGGGTTCACACTGCTAGTTGGAGTCAAGTTGCTATATTCAGCTCCATTTAAGATGAGTCAGGCAAATGGGTCCTTGAGCTGAGCCATTACATCTTGATCGAGTCAAAGCTACCGCAGTGATGGAGTCTAAGGTTAATCCTTTAGCATTGACAAGAGTCTGCTTGATGCAATCGAGTCAACTCGAGTCGCAGTCAATGACTACAGTCACTAAAGCACAGCTGAAGTGCTGATATGTATGGGAAAGTGTGGGCCTATAGATATAACAGTTTTATTACCTCTGTGATGGTGATGACTCTCTTTGTTTTGACACCCTTCCCTTTGTCAAAGGCTGTTGCCTTCTCTACCTGTTCGATGATCTTAACCATTCTCTCAGGTTCCTGAAGTTAACAGATTTAAAGGGGTGAAAAATGGTCAATATAAAAACGAATGTGGTCCTGTATGTACAAATTGGAAATATTCTTTGGCTCTCCTAGGACATCTCAAGCAGTAATATCGGGGGGGTCCCACTTGGGTGTCCTAAGTTTCGCCCTCCCCCCGTCACTGNCCATTATATGGACTCAGTTCTCGCTACTGCCCATTATATGGACTCAGTTCTCGCTACTGCACCGTTTCTGTGCCATTTTTTTGACAAGCGAGTTATTAAACGTGCGGTATTTGGCACTTTTTTTGCCTTCGAAAGGAAGTCCTCCAACAACATGAGTCTGAAGGATTCCAAGGATCTGAGAGTATATTTTGGGGTAGTCAAGGTTGAAAACATAATATACTCCCAACAAAGTGATCACTGCATTTGCCACCATACTGCCCTTGCAAGATATGTGGACCCCATCGCCAACAATGAAGATTGCAGTTATCTTGTCATCCCTCTTGATTATTACCAGCTTTGGCGGATCCTTGTCCCCAGTTTTCAGGGCCACTTCAACCTCGTTGTCTGGAATGTCCTGAGAAATATATAACAATGATATATAACGGTTACCTTGTTGTAAACATGTGTTCTCCATGTATCAAAACAACAATGTAAACATTTGATCTAATTATTGACAAAAAGATGAGTCAGGCAAATGGGTCCTTGAGCTGAGCCATTACATCTTGATCGAGTCAAAGCTACGGCAAAGATGGAGTCTAAGGTTAATCCTTTAGCATTGACAAGAGTCTGCTTGATGCAATCGAGTCAACTCGAGTCGCAGTCAATGACTACAGTCACTAAAGCACAGCTGAAGTGGTGATATGTATGGGAAAGTGTGGGCCTAGAGATGTAACAGTTTTATTACCTCTATGATGGTGATGACTCTCTTTGTTTTGACACCCTTCCCTTTGTCAAAGGCTGTTGCCTTCTCTACCTGTTCGATGATCTTAACCATTCTCTCAGGTTCCTGAAGTTAACAGATTTAAAGGGGTGAAAAATGGTCAATATAAAAACGAATGTGGTCCTGTATGTACAAATTGGAAATATTCTTTGGCTCTCCTAGGACATCTCAAGCAGTAATATCGGGGGGGGGGCCCACTTGGGTGTCCTAAGTCTGCTTCCCCATTTCTAAATGAATTTACGATGAGCACAAAGATATAGAACAAAAAAATTACCTCTGTTGGCGGCAAACGCAAGGCCTCCTCGACGGCAGCCATAAACATCTTGGTGTTGTCCTGAAGTTTGCCGAACTGCTTCTCCCCAATAATCCTCTGAAACTCAAGAATAATCTGTTGATAAATCATAAAAGGTAACAAAACAAGGAATATGAGTAGTGGTACAAGCAAACTCCAGTTACAATTTGTCATTAAACACAACCGGTCTGAACAAGTGAAAGATTGTATGAAGCGTAGCATTTTTGTCTAACTTGAGAAAATCGTCTGGTTTGAACAAATTTATATACCTTGTGAAACACTGTTTTGAGGAAAATATTTTGGAAAATTACAAAAAAAAAATGATTTCCTCCTTCAACAAGCTGCAAATACGTATAGTTTGAGTGTCTGACTATACCTGATTTTCCATTGCAGGATTGACATCCGGGGTCATGGCAACAGACTTTGAAGGTCAAGGATCACACATTTACACCATGAATTAATTGGGTTTTGAATTTTAGTAATATATGTTAAATCGTACTTACCATCTGTCCATCTTCATAGCATGGGATCTTTTCCAAAATTGGCTTAATCTTTGAGTCTGGAAGCCCTTTGATCCACTGCTGGTTGGACTTGAAACATTCTGAGAGCAGAAGATTTAGATGAGCATCATTCTTCCTCTGCCCCTTGGCCCACTCGACTTGAATTTCAGAAAGGTGTTTCTCGTACTCTTCCGATGTTAAATCTGAAGATCCATCTGAAGTGCAGGATATATGGACTACTCGAGGTTTCTTGGTAGTAGGGGCACAGTTGTCAGTTCCACCACCTCTGTTCTCGGTTGGAGTCCTCTTCCTGTCTGTCCATCGAATGTGCCTTATTCTTTGGGAGAGGCACTTTGTGAAAAAGGACTGTATAAAATTGAAAATACAAACAAAAAGAGAAACCGAAATATATGTGAGAGTGTAACATACACCAAGGATAAAAGAATTTAAATGCTTCCATGCAACCCATCTGTCAGCAACATTTTGAAGTGAATTACATAACAAACACATTTTCACAAGGGTAAATACAGGATGTTTCAAAAGGGGGGGGGGAATTTTCCAAGCAGCGAATTGTAAAGGCAAGTTGTTGCGCCCACACTTAGAGCGTGTCTGCCCACCCTGCTAGCGGGGTCTGGGTGTGTTTTTGTGTAAGCTACAGTAAATTTGATCCAAAATTGTGCAACAAACATATTTTTATCATACGTTTATTTTTTTTCTGGAGGAAACCCCCCCCCATGTCTGCCCGTTTCAAACAGACTACTTAGTATGTCAAATCAGGATCCTGCAATTTGCGTTTGTACAAAGTGACAAAAAGAATTAATGTTGATTAATGACTGAAACTCCAACCATGTACATGTGATGCTGATACTTCACTCTTGGAGGGGCAAGGCAATCTTCCAAAAGCAAAGGGGCACTTGTAATATGAAATCCAATTGTTTATGGGAACATGATTTCCAAGGACATTTCAGCAAAGACCATGGGCATCGGAGACAATATGCCTTTGTTGCCTCCGTGAAGAATCAGGCCTGCACTTTCACTGATTGCAAATAACTAACATTAATCAGTTCATACCCATTCATGCTCTCCTTCCCGCTGTATGGATGGATAGGTGCAGAACATTTTACGACCAATGGCACAATATTCAGAAGTACTACTCAGCTGTGGATGTTTGCCAATGTAGTAGTTAGCTGCCTCACTTATCAGTTCTCTCCACACCATGTGCTCCTTCCCTGACCGTAGATGCTCCAACACCCGTGGGCTAAACACCGGTAGAGATGAAAACTCGGTTACTCGATGACTAGAAGACACTTGAGCTTCAGGTGAACACTGTGACTGTGGGGTTGGAGGAGTTGCGTCATCCACAGCTGGCTCTGGTATCTTGTTTTGAGGTGATGTGCTTGTGGCAGGTTTCCAGCTCTCACCATTGTTCAGTAGCATGAACGTTGTTCCACCTCCCAGCTCCTGTAAGACCTCGTCGTCTTCAATTTCTGTGCCATCATCTTCAGTCACAATTCGGTGCGAGTCAAACTCATTGCCAAGGTTGAACTTAGCTTTGACTGTGAGGATTACAAGAACAAATTACAATGAAAAGAGAAAAATTACGAGTCTCGCTGTTTTTAAGGTCATCTAAAAATGTCAAGGTCAAGAAATAAGCATAATATGCTTTTTTCTTTTCTTTGACATTGTTAAGACCCAACAATCACCATAACCATATTTGTTATTGGGCCGAATGAAAACCTGTAGAAGGCATTAGACAGGTCTTTAATGTTTTTTTTTTTCTGGCTCGGATAACAGGATGAGCTCATAGGTTGGCCTTCACACATGTTGAATCAAATAAATTTAGCCAATCAGAGCAGTTGTGCTTTCTCTTGCCACACTGCTTCACCAATCCTATACTATATCTTGATTAGTTCATATCAATATGAGGTTTGGACACAAATAACATGCATTTTGTCTTTCTAGCACGGGAGTTGGTCCCTTTGATCTAATACTTTGTTGCTTTTTCGAGTTTTATTCTAATTATTATTCAACAAATTACACATGACACACAGATAAACTAGTACATACCTTTCACGATCATCTCTTCAATGCTGATGGCTACGACACTTTTGCGCACATTTCTGTCACAGTTCCAAATTTTATACACTGGCATGATCTCTCAAAATGTTTAACTGTGTCAACAAGTGTAAAGGCTGGATACTGCAGATAATTTACAGAACGCAAAATAGATAAACCTCATGATTTCAAACAAACGGCAAAAATGTAATCAAAAGTGCATGCAATTAATGTATGACTTAATAAATAATAAAGTGTGTATGCATTTGGAGAGATAGCCACTGATTGCAACACAAGTGTGCCCAATCCTAACCCTAACCAAATTTCATAAAGCTGCTCAGTTGAAATAACTACTCAACAAATTTACTTGCTGAGTACAATTGAGGAGGAGACCAGTCACATTTATCATATGGCACTCTGGCTGGTAAGCCATACTCAGTTTATGTACAACCATTTAAAAACAAATTTAACTGACTGTACACCATTAGTCCTAGTAAGTAAAAATGGAAAATGCATAAAGCATTTCAGCTATAAGAAGCACCCTCTGTTGGTCACCATTAGTATAATTGATGGAATTGATCTACAGAAAATCAAATCCATTGGTATTCAAATAGGGTCTGTCCAACACTGGGTACAGAAATGTCACATGTGAGAGCAGCACTGCATAAATCATTATTAAAAGAAAGTATTTGTGTACAGTCGTTACTAATTTTGCACATCCCTTTAAAAGTTATATTAGCAGAAATTCTGACAGAATTGTAAAAAGAATAGTGTACTGTTAATTAACATAAAGGCACTCTCGGTTAATGTACAACCATTTAAAAACTAATTCAACAAACTGTACACTATCAGTCCTAGTAAGTAAAAATGGAAAACGCAAAAACATTTCAGAATTCTTGTGGTTGGATCCTTATCTGTGCAGTCAAAATAGTTCATATGTGTGTGAGTATTTATTGATTACGCAATTCTTTCCTGCATACTTGTACACACTTAGTGGCCACTTTGAAAACAGCTGTGAAAAATGAACACACAAATATTCATGTTTTGACTCCAGAACGTAAGACAAAACATGAAAATTAAAGTACTGCGTTTCCATGCACTCAACGATGAAAAATTTTTCATCGTTGATGACAACAGCGGCCTCCAAAATTCCGAATTGTGGCAAGTCATCTTTATAGTCAAGAACCAGACAGCAGCCTGGTCTGTATTCATGCCCATGGATGGTTAAACTAGATGTCTTGTAAGCATGCACTCCATTCTCAGCTTGATGATCAACACCAAAATACGCACCAATACTACCAACTGCATCTGGATATTCGTCATGTAAGTTAACAGACTTTCCCTCTCGAACAGTGTCACCAGAATACAGAAATGTTTGTGTCTTTTGACCGTGTGAACCCAACTGCTTGTAGCACATGTACTTCTGATGTTTCAGGCAGATGCTCAATGGAAGGTTTTTGAAACATCTCCACTTTTTAGTTTTGAAGAAACCATGTTTTGCCTCGAAACGCATACACCAATGGTGTCTTAATGGGCCATAATTAATCATCTGCCTTGGTAGGTGGATGCAATAATGCATCTTTGGCGTAACCTTCCCCTTTGGATAGAGAGCAGTGAAGGTTGTATGATGTTCATATACAAGCTGAGCAAGTACAGAAGCTGTCATGTGGCTGCAGCAAGGACTTGTTGATATGAGCGTAATTTGCACAAGCCGCAGAAAGTTTACCCATTTTGGTTCTCCCTGAGGTACCTTTTGACTTATAATGTACGGCAATGTGCAAATTAGGGTCATAGTAGCAGCAGATGTTTGTTTTAGTTTTCCATCTCCCACAATATGAGTCTTATCCAGGATTTCAGGCTTTGCTCCCAGATGGAGGTACGAATATGAAAAGGATGTTATTCTTGCATTAAGCCACTCCAAGGTGAAGTACTTTGAAACCACAATATAGTCATAGAGCATGTATTTCAATTCGTGTGGTATTAAACCTTCCAAAAATACATGCATAGGGTCTTGAACTAAACCACTGCAGATACTGAAATCATGGATACTCTGGAGACAGCTTGCCGAATTTATGCCCCATTGTTTACTCCAGTATATCTTTGCAGCTTTAGACAAGCCATCAAGAGAAAGGCATCTTCTTCTGTGCTCTCCTTCTTCTCGCATAACAAACTCTTGTTCAACAAACTTTCGTTTCATATCAGACTGAGAAGCTTGACAACACCTGCAACCATGCAATGCAAAAGAAACACCCTCCTTGAAGCCCCCAAGCCACTGTGCTGCTGGTGTGTCACAAGGTACAATGACAAGTTTGCCTTCAAGATGCATGTTTACACCATTCACCTTAAGCTCAAGACCACCTGAACTAAGTTTATTTATGCAACTTACAAAGTCTTCTAGGAGAGCACCAGATCCATACTTTCTAATGTCCTTACTTCTGGCAACACCTAAAAGTTGTATAGTCTGTAGCTGTGACCTGTATTCAGGTGGGATGTTTGCTAATGTGTAATAGAACATAGTCAGTTTGTGCTTCTTGGTGTGAGACCCAATCGGGTTGACTATCTCAATATCATCGGTGTTAAGAATTACCTGAAGAGCTTGGGGGTTCCTTGTGAATAATGGGTCTGATCTAATGCATTCACCATCAGAAATATCGTACATGTAGTGTGAAGGATCACGTGGGTTACTAATATACTTCCACACATCTGGCATTAGCACTAAGTTTGTTAAACTTTCTGTGAATGGAATGCAATAACCAACAATATCCTTCTTCTGTAGAACACCCTTGACTGTTACAAACTTTTCTCCAAGTTTTACTGCTTTTGGTGGAACATAAAAGTATATCTGTTCATACAATTTGTCTCGTTTCTTCCTTGTGCATATCTCATCAAGCAAGTGCTTGACTGAAATTTCAGTCATAAATCCACATGGGATACATTGTTCTTGGAGTTTTTCACGAATCTTGGTCTTGAACAAAGAGACATGTTGCTCAATCAAGGAGGAAACAGATTCAATCACTCTGTCAACAGAAGAGTGTGTCAAGTTATGGGAACATTCCAAGGCGAGGCTAAACGATGCATTACAATTTCTGGTCATTTGTAATTCAGACATTTGTGAAACCTCAGCATCATTGTCATCATCTTGCTCAGGCACATCAGCATAATTAGCCATATCTCCGTCAGCAGCATTATTCACATTTTGAATGGAATGTTTACGACTCATATGAGCTTTAAAGGCTCCCCAGCTCCTACTGGAATATGAACAGTTCCCAAAACTGCAGAAACAAACAAAATTAGCATCATGGCGATGTAACCTAACCACATGCGAGGTAAATTTCTCGTATGAATTACTTATGAAGCAACACAATGAACATTTAAACTGATCATTGTCGTCCATCATTGGCCTACCCAGTACTACGTCTGGCCGTGGTAACGTCACCAAATAAGGCAAAAAAAAGATAAATAAATAAATAAATAAATATGGCCCTACAAGAACAACACTATTCGACCACTAGAAATAGAGACAGGCTAGCCTAGTTCAACATTGGGAAAGATGGCATTAAAATTCTCTAATCCTGTATAACATTACTGCACTTTGCACTGTGTACATACTGTACATGACCAGCAGATGACCCAGTTCAGCTGTCTGTTAGGGCCTAATTTCTGTAACAATGAACTAGGCCTAGGCCTCTAACCTAGGCAGAACAGGTAGGCCCTAAGAGGTCTAACGTTATGCGTACAAATTGTAGAAGAAGCCTATAGCCTAAGCTATACAGGTCTAACGTTAGTCTATCTAAGATTGCACAATCAAAGGTTTATCATTAACGTAGCCTACAAGTACAATTATGCGAGAACTCCTGTCCTATGCCTACACACGCATGTAGGCCCGTGCTACTCTAAGGCAATGCATACACACTCTACGCCCTATGCTTGCTTAATTACCGAAGCGTGAGAAGGGGAACTTGAAATCTGAACTCAAAATATCTCAGTAGTTTGGCTTATATAGCGCTGAGGCCGCTAAACCAAAAAGGAGTTCTGAAAGTATCTGCAATATACACAAGCCAGGTGAGTGGACGAATTTTATCCAATTGGGCCATGACAGAGATGCACAATACCTGCTATAAATCTGCACAGATGGAAGCTGCTTGTGTGATGTGTATCGTGTTGATTTGTCGCGTGAGCTGCTAGTGTAGATCGACCACGCAATATGGATGTGCGTACATACATGTGTATTCACCCATAAGTATACATGTACATGTACAATGCGCCACAGTGATGTTGTTCGCACGCGCTGCCTCAGCTCCACAGCCAATCACGTATCAGAAGGCTAGCGCGTGCGCTTAATTTATGCAAAATAATTGATACTTTTTGGCGGGCGAATAGCACAGGAACTTTCTGGAAATTATTAGAAAAGAGTACAGCGTTAGCGTCGCCGTTTAAATGCCGTGTTTAGCATTTCGTACTTTTAGTAAACACGACATTTGTATACTTTAAACACAGGTCATTCACCCATTACTGAACACTTAACTTTCCAATCTTTCATCTTGGCTTATTAAGGTGTACTCAGGCAGCCTAAACGGGATTTTCAGCAGCCTTGAAAACGTGTTATTGTAATGAGAAGAAGCATGAGATGCATTTCAAACAATGTTCAAAAGTTTTGAATACGTAATGAGGCGTATGTTAGACACGTTTAATATCTAAACCGACAAGCGTTAAAACAATACAAACATGTCGAACAAAGCAAGCCAAATATTTGTCAGATCTAAAATGTTTAGTTACAACTTAAATACAGTGTGCTAATATCAGCCTTCTATGGAATGGCAGGGGCGGTTAGGGGCGATGGTTGCGCCGCAAGATGGTATTAAACCTCGCCTTGTTTTAAACATTTGCATTCGCTATAATGAACTTTTAACATTGAACGCATGTTTCAATGGATTGATTTCCGTTAACAAACTTTGTCAGCTCCTTCATTAAACCCGCGGATTATGTGTTCATAATAATGCAGCAATTGAATACGGTGTGTGTATCTTGGCCATGATTATTCACAACATTCACGATGTTAAACGCAACGGGTTATAATGCTTATTATCATGTGATTATTAAAACACAGAGCATACGTTCACCGGCTAGAATAATTAGGTTAAAAACGTGTCATGTTTTTATCATGTTTAGCAACTAAACATATTGTGTTTATAATACGACATGCTCAACAGTCCATCTCGGGGTCACTGTATAAACACTTGGTGTTTAACTCACGGTTTGTATTTTTGTACCTTTGTGTTTAAATTAGAACGTGTTTACAATTACTAGCGTATATGTTTAGATTAAAAACATGTCCAGTGTTTATCATGTGTATCAACTGTAAACATCATGTTTAAGATATGCAATGCTGACCAATTTGCATCGTTTCGTTAAAGGATTTGGCGTTGCTTAAACACTTAGTGTTTAGAAGATAAACGCATCATTGGTAATAAAGTGTTACGTGTTTAAATGAAAACATGTCATGTGTTTACTTACATACAAGTGTTTACATTATAAACGCGTCAAGTGTTCAAAGTTTTACAGTGTANGTTGTCGCTTCTTACATCAACGTGGTTAAATATAATCCAGTGGGTTCTTCTTACATTCCGTTGCCTAAGGAACTGTTACACAAAAAAGCAAAACGTCCAAGATAAAGATCAAGAATGTATCCAATGGGCGTTGCGGGCAGCTTTAAAATTATATTCAGACGGAGTCAAAAGTCAGCTAGAAACAAATCCAAAATATAAAATAAATAAGGAGCGGCCTTCGACTTACCGGTCAGAATCAGATGGTTTAAATTTTACAAACGTAAGCTTTCCAACACCGATTTCACAAATCCCACGTATCGAATTGCAAAATAGCTTGGCGATCAATGTGTTTGGTTACACCAAAAAAGACGGTCTTTACATTCTTTACAAAAGCAAGCGTCCAGAAGAACCGATCAATTTACTTTACTTTAACAAAGGTGACGAAAATCACTACTGCTGGATTAAAAATTTTTTTCGGTAACGAGTGATATCGATCATCACAACGGCCAAAACACTGGTGTTTCAATTGCATGTCGCATTTCCAAACGGAAGAAAAGTTAATCAGACAGAAAGAAGATTGTCAAGGCTTATACGTTCCCACATGTACGGTCGAGTTGCCGGTCAAAGATGAGAATATACTCAAGTTCAAAAATTACAAAAATAAACAAGACGCGCCTTTCGTCATTTACGCCGATTTTGAGTCTGTTTTAGAAAAATTACCGCCGACCGATAGAAACACTCTCAAAACACAGATTCACAAGCCTTGTGAATACTCATACGCGGTCGTCAGATGCGATGGAGTTTGTACTAGCCAAAAGACTTACAGAGGTCAAGACGCGGCTGTTGATAGGGTCACTTTCTCAGGAAACAGAGAATAGCAACGAAACGTTTAAAAACAAAGCGAAGTTGATCTGGTCACCCGAGTTACAAAAGAATTACGAAAAATGTAATAGATGTTGGATCTGCGAAAAGTTGATAGATCGAGCGAAAGCGAACAAATCTCAATGCCAGTGTGATATTCCAAATGAACCAAAAACAAAAGCTGACAAAAATGCTTTCTGTCATAAAAATGAAGCTGGGTTCAGAGAATGGATATGTTTAGATTGCAAAAAGCCCATCAACAATTTTAGAAAGGTTAGAGATCATTGTCACGTGACGGGGAAGTACCGAGGCCCAGCGCACGCCAGTTGTAATCTCAAATTAAGAATAGTGGCCGATCAAACACCCATTCCGGTGATCTTACACAACTTGGAGAAATACGATGCGCACTTGATTATGCAGGGCGCTCACAAATTTTACGGGAAATCAATTAAGTTGATCGCTAAAAATACTGAAAATTACATTTCGTTTTTTTTTGGCCAACTCAGATTTTTAGACTCCTTTCATTTCATGGCGGCTTCGCTACATCGGTTGGTTAAAAATTGTTCACCCGATGATTTTAACTTACTTTGCGAAAGGTTTCCAGAAAACACGAATTTACTCTTGGAAAAGGGAATTTACTCCTATGAGTATACAGACTCCTTTGATCGGTTCCAAGAGAGACGGCTCCCGCCAGTAGACGCTTTCTATAGCTCTCTGAAGCAGGGAGGGATAACCGAGCAAGAATACGCTCGTGCAGATACAGTATGGCAAGCCTTTGGTTGTAAAACCCTAGGAGACTACCACGACCTATACGTGGAAACGGACGTGTTATTGTTAGCGGCTGTTTTTGAGAACTTCCGTAAAGTCTGTAAACAACACTACGGCCTTGACCCAGCCAACTATTATACGTCACCGGGCCTGTCGTGGGATGCATTGTTAAAGTACTCGGGTATACAGTTGGAACCACTGACAGACATTGACAAGCACTTGTTCTTTGAAAGGGCAAAAAGAGTTGGTATTTCGAGCGTGGGTGCAAAGCGATATGCAAAGGCCAATAATCCAGAACTACCTGAATACGACCCGAATAAGCCAGAGTCACAGATCATGTACTTAGACGCAAATACGGCTGGGCGATGAGCAAATATCTGCCTGTAGGGGAATTTACCTGGGAAACAGACTTTACTTACTATTACATCCAAGAGTTGCGACTAACTGACGACTACGGTTACATGTTTGAGATCACTATGGATTACCCGGAACGTCACCATGACAAACATAACGACTTTCCACTTGCGCCCGAAAATATGTTGGTACCAAACGAATGGTTTTCGAGTTACCAACAGGATTTAATTGGTAATGGCGAAGTGAGTACCGTTTCAGTAGACAAACTCGTGGCTACTCTCAACACCAAACGAAAATATGTGTTCCATTATCGTACATTGCAAAAATATCTTAAACTCGGGTTGTGGATCAAAGAAGTTCACCAGGTATTGAAATTTCGTCAAAAGCCGTGGATGAAAAGCTATATTGACAAAAACACAAAATTGCGCAAATTGGCCAAGTCTTA